CCTCTCAAAATACCCTGAACTTGGAGTTTTCTCCTCTCAAAATACCCCCAACTCTATTTTCTCCTCCCAAAATACCCCCAACTCTTTCCTCCTCTCAAAATACCCCCAACTCCAAGTTTTCTCCTCTCAAAATATCCCCAACTCCAAATTTCCTCCTCTCAAAACACCCCAACTCCAAATTTCCTTCTCTCAAAATACCCCCAACTGTTTCCTCCTGTCAAATCACCCCCAACTCTGCTTCCTCCTCTCCAAACACCCCCAACTCTGAATTTCCTCCTCTCCAAACACCCCCAACTCCGAATTTCCCCCTCTCAAAACACCAACTCCAAGTTCTCTCTTCTCCAAACACCCCCAACACTGAGTTTTATGCTTTTCAAAGCCAACAAGCCCCCTAAAAATGGATTTTTAAAGGCAGGTGGTGACTCCATCCAGCAGCCACCGCTGCACTGAAAGAACAAAGTGCTGTTTCTCTTCAGGTTTGTTTTTGGAAGCAACATCACAACACCCACCACTCCTCCTGCTCCAGAAACACCCTTTTGTCTGTCTCCTCTAAAATAAAAGTAGCTATTTACAACAGCTGCCACTACACAAGCAACAACAAGCCAAATCAATGAGCCTCACTCCTGAATTTTAATAATATCCTGCATTTTTTTTTCCCCATCCACAACCTGCATGTTCCCCCAAACCAACCCTAACTCAAATATATTCATTCCAAAAAAAAAAAAAAAAGCTCTTGGAGGCAAAGGTTTTGTCTTCTCCTACCAGCCAACACATTAGGCAGCTGGACATTAGTTGGCTGGAATTGATTAGAGTTTGTGATTTAATTTAAAAGCATTCGAAAGCAGATATTAATCTCAGAGCTCTGAAGGGGAGAGAGACACGCTGGGGAGAAAAATAGATTTAATTCCCCTGGGCAACTGTACTAAAAGGTAGCCTGGAATTCCCAGCAGCTTTGGCACAAACCATGTCCAGAAGTGACAAAGAAGTGGGATAATGTGGCAGGATCATCTCCCTCACTGAGTGTTTTTTACAGCAGGAAACCTTAATTCCACTGGAAAGAGCTTAATTCCTCCTTCTTGCCTCATTTGGGAGGTCTCAGTGTCACACAGATGAACTCCCAGCACAGGGGGGGATATCTGGGGTTGGCCTGTGCAAGGCCAGGAGTTGGATTCCACGATCCCTGTGGATCCAGCTCAGGATATTCCAAGATTCTGTGCAGATCCACAGTTACAAGAGGGATAAATCTGATTTATTTGAGCAGGTGGGACCCACTCCACCAATTCCTGTCCCCAGCGAGGTCCAACTCCATCAGAGAGGGGTGATCCAAAGGGAAAAAGGAGGGAGCAGTGGCTGCTTTGCCTTGGAATTACCTTCCTCACACTCAGCTCCACAAAACCACCAGCTGAAAGTCTCCTCAGGGATGAGACTTGGTTTAAAGGTGAACCAGATCACCCAGCTCCAAGTCAGAGCTGAGAGAAAAAAAAACATCCAAAAACATTCTTCTGGCCTTGGTTGGTCTGTTTATTTTGAATTCTCCAGGGGCAGAGGAAGATTCCAGGCTCCCTGCCCCATTTAACAGGGTTCAAAGCTGGGAATTCCTTCCTTGCCTCAGCTAAATTAACTCAATCTCATTAAACTCCACTGGTCAAGGGATTGTTCCCTGAGCAGTGAATCAAACATTATCCAGCTGACCATCTGGATATCTGCACTGAGCTGCTCTCAGTTAGACTGGCAAGAAGTTAGAAGTTACAAAGAGCCCAAAACCCAAATTTGTAGGGATTTGCTCTCTGTTTTAAACGTGCTGAGAGGGGAGCTGAGGTGTTACCTGCACTGCAATCCAGCTGGCGTTCACAGCGTGCTCTCCAAAGGGCCCAAACCCTGCAAGAGAACAAAAAAACCCACCCTGGTGAAGTTCATTCTCACACCTTTGACTCCACTTCGAGTTGCAAGCGCTTTCCTAGTTTAGATATCCCGAAAAAAAACCCCACCCAACCACTTTTACCACCCAATCCTTATTTCTTTACATCCAAGCACCAAACGAGACACCTGCATTGAAATATTTCAACTGCAACCTTGTACAGGGAAGGAAACCAAGAATTTGCCCCACAAGAATTTTTTTTTTTCCCCAACAGACATTTGGGAAGAAGATTTTTTTTTTCCCTTCCTGCCCAGGTTAGAAAAACTTAAAAAGAGAACTTTTTAAGAAAGAGAACTTGTTATCAAGAGAGGATTTGATGTCAGGGAATTAAATCACAATTGGATTTTTCTATTCCTGATTGCTTTGACCCACAGCAGATGCCTCCACCAGCCTTTCTCAAATGTTTCTTCTCTGCTCAAGTCTTCTCCAAGATCTTCATTAGCACTTAATTACTAAGGAAATTATTAAGGAAATAATCAGGAGTGCTCACAACCCACCTACCCCGAGCAGCAAAGGTTACCATGGCATTATCAAAAATACCTCCTCACCCCCTCTTAAATTCCTAATGGATAACTTTGGAGTTAACTGGTGATCCATAACATCTTCTCCTGAGCAAGCACACAAAGGTTGAGCAATTTATCTGGGCGTAATGTCGATACACTTTAATTTACAATGTCAGCATTGCCCTCCGAGCTTAATGCAATTAGGAGGCATAAATTCTGCCCAGCTCCTGAAAGGATTCGAGAGGGACCACAAATATTAAGTGACACCTTAATGGAAATGCCGTGTTTGCCATCAGCAGCCAGGCTGAGGTGATGCTGCACACGAGGAATTCACACAGAGCCCTGGCTCGTCCACGCCCGTGGATCAAAACCCAACGCTGGTATCTCCCCAAAATAAATATTCCCACAGAACCAAAGCGTTGGTGTGTTCTCCCGTTCAGCAAAACCCCAAGGCTGTAACACAATCCACGACTGCAGCACGGGGGACAGGGCAAATTAATGCCTTTTCAGCTGTTTCTGCGAGTCCTGCACAACTCCCTGAAAACAAACACCGCAGCCCGCTGGGTTTAATTCCTGAATCGAGTGCAACAATCTTATAAAATAAATAAAATACGTATTTTAACAAGCCAGCCACCCAAAGGCTGAAATTCTACAGGTGTTCAGGCACACAACACGATCCCCTTGCCTCGAATCCAAAGGGAAAAACTGGCACGGGCACAAACAGGGGTATCACTGCTGTGACTCATCCCCTGCCCGGATCCCGGGGCGTTATCCCTTATCCTGGGATAAGGAACTTTGTGGGCACATCCACCCCAGGGCCCTCCAAGGCTCATTAGCAGCAAACCAGCTGCAAGGGATCCTGACGGGGATTATCTCCTTAACGAGTTCTAAAAAAGAAATTGTGCACAAATAACACTCATCCTCGGCCGGCACAACCTCGGGAACTGATGGGGGAACACGACACCATCCCCGCTTTTAAAAGGAATTTAACGTGACATCGATGACATTATCAAAGAGGGGCAGAGCTGACGAGGCAACCGCTGTGTTTTGTAACCAGACTTCCCTGAAAACAGGGGGGGAAAAAAAGAGCCCGGAGAAGCCTTGAGAGCGGCAGAACATTCCCTGACACGCGTTTTCTGTTTAGTCACCACCGCCCCGCGCTGGGTTTGGGGCTGGGAAAGGCAGGATTCGCCACCTGCTCCTCCTCTCTCGGCGACTCTTCCCTGCAAAGACACTTTTTTGCCTCCGATTTCAGCCGCCCCAGCCGAGCCCCCGCCATTCAAACGGCCTCAACTTCAGCTGCTGGGGGGGGGGGGGGAGAACCTGAATAGTTTCAGGCGAGTTCCCCATTTGTCACAGAACGGCCTCACCCACAAATCACCCCGAGCGGCCTTTGTACCCCGGGGAAGAGCCTGACAGCGCCGGGGCCCCTCGTTCCCTGGCTTATTCTTCCCTCAGGGGCTTCTGCCGTGCTGAGGGGGGGGGATTTGGGGAGCAGCTTCCACACCTCGGTGGCTGGGGATGGGGTGGTCAGCCAGCAAATCCCATCCCCTGCGCCCCTAAATTGTTTTTCCTGCTTCTTTGCAGGCTCGGCTCCTGTCTTTCCACCACCAGCAAAACCGCTGGAGGGGGTTTAGGGATGGAAAAGGGGGATCCAGGTCCCCGCTGCCTGGGCACAAGTGTTAGGAAAGCTGCTGCAAAGCCCCTCAGCACGGGATCCCCCCCAGCTCCTGACACCCCTCACACGCAGCAGTGCGTCCCCCAAAACTCCCCAGCCCCTGCCCTCCATCCCCAGGGCTCCTGTTTATCACCCCACACAGGGCAGAGCCCCCCCAGACAGCCCCCCAGGGACAGCTTCCCCCTCTCCATCCCCACCTTAGTCACATCCCGATGGGACAGCAGCCCCCCAGCTCCTGGTCACACACTCCCCTCCCTCACCTCGGGCAAGGGGTCCCCAGCCCCCTTTACATCAGGGAAGGGGTCCCCAAAACTACCCTCCCCTCAAACCCCCTCCTCACCTGCCTCTTCCACTTCCCCTCCCAGGGTTGGGTCCCTCACCTGCGCCCCTTACCTTAGGGAAGGGGTCCCCAAAACTACCCTCCACCCCAAGCTCCCCATCACCTCGGGGAAGGGGTCTCTGACCTGCGCCCCTGAGCTCCCTCTCACCTCGGGGAAGGGGTCCCCAAAACTACCCTCCACCCCAAGCCCCCCTCACCTCGGGGAAGGGGTCTCTGACCTGCTCCTCTGAGCTCCCCCCTCGCCTTGGGTGGGGGTCCCCCACCTATCCCCCCAAGCTCCTCTCGCCTCGGGGAAAAGGTCTCCAAAACCACCCTCTACCCCAAGCCCCTCTCACCTCGGAGAAGGGGTCCCTCACCTGCCCCCTTCAGTTCCCTCTCACCTTAGGGAAGGGGTCCCCATAACCACCCTCCACCCCAAGCCTCCCTCACCTCGAGGAAGGGATCTCTGACCTGCCCCTCCGAGCTCCCCACTCCCCTCGGGCGGGGGGCCCCCCCCCATCCCCCCCACCCCCCCCCCCCCCCGCGAAGGGGTCCCTCACCTGCCCCCCCTGAGCTTCCTCTTCACCTCGGGCAAGGGGTCCCCCATCTCTTCTTCTCCTCCCCCTCCCTCCCTCCCTCCTGGAGCCGCCCCGTACCCGTCACCACCACCGCCCGCCGCGGCTTCTCCATCGCGGCTCCGTCCCGTCCGTCCCGTCCCGCCGCCGCCGCCCCGCACTGAGCGCGGCCCCGCCCCGCCGCTCCCGCCCCGCCCCGCCCCGCAGCGCCCGGGCCCGCCGCTTCCGCCGCCGCGGCGGAAGTCCCGCAGCGGGACGGCCCCGGGAGCCCTTCCCCGCTCGCTCACCGTTCGCTCACCGTAGCCCGAGGCGGGGGACGGTTGGGTCACCGTAACCCCAGACGGGCCCGCGGGCGGCGGGGTGGGGGGG